GTTTCTATCCAACAACAGAATGTCATACTTCATTATCTTCATGCGGAACAATCAATCTCGCGCTCTGATACCACTTGTTATGAAACAGATCGCAAGATAATGACGATAATGAAATAAAGAAAAAGAAAACAAGAATACAAGAATTTATTTGGAAACCCAATTCGGGAAAAACCACGGGCAGATGAGAACAATCTACTATAATTAATAGTTTTGTATTTACAATTGATAATGAAATAAAGAAGAAGAAAACAAGAACATAAGAATTTACGTGGAAACCCAATTCGGGAAAAAAACTACGGGAAGAGGAGAACAATCCACTATAATCAATAGTTTTGTACTTACAATATCAAGATTTCAATAATCTCAATTGAAATCTAAACTTTCAATCTCTGAATATATTATTGAAGATATAAAGAATAATATGTGAATATTATATTATGAAAATACAAGGTGAAAACATATATATACCCTCTTGTTGGAGTTCAAGATGGAGAAGAAGCCCTAAAATTCGGATAAAAAAGAAAAAATCGCGATCAAGTTACTGTTGCAATGCCTAGATGCTATTGTTACAACACTTGGGGGTTCGCCTAGCGCTCTGGCTCTATGTGACTAGCGCTTGGACGCTAGGTCTCGGGTAAACATTCCAAAACATGTTTTTTGCCATCCAAAAGTCCATTTTCAAGCCAAACTCCTAATTATTATTGAAATTTGACTGTCACAATTTAGGAATCTTTAAACCCAAGTACCTTAAACTTCCTTCAATTAACCAAATTCCAAATCACATGGAATCCAATCAACCAAATATTTTATTTATTTATTTTTGAAATTTCAATTCTAAATCTTTACTTTTTAGAGACTTAATGACAATTTCAAGAGTCTGCCATACGTAATTGTATTTTTGAGATCTCTATAGGCTTCATGAATAGCATTGATGAGTATAAAAACTTTATATTCCTCGTATACTTTTTTTCAGTGTTTGTGACGTCTTGAACCAATTTGTTGAGGCAACCATATTATCATCTAATTCTTTTGAGGAATCAACCTTAAAACTAGGAAATCTTTCTAAAAGAAACAGTTGTAAGGTAGGAATTTCATCAAGCAAAGTTCTTCTAACTTTTTCCATTAGAGTTCAGTAGAATCGAACTTTCTTACTTTTCTCAAAATTTGATCAAATAGAAGCAAAATATTAGATGTTTAGGCAAGTTCACCCGCTTCATAGTTTTGTTTATCAAACATAGAAGCACAAGGGTCTACTTATACCATGAGTGACCACCGTTGATCTCAGGTCAAAATTAACGATCTAGAGTAATTAACAACTCATCAATTCAAGAGGCAACTACTAATAACTAAGTTTTACTTCTCAAACGCGATTTCGTTCATCTAAAATGGGTCCGATTTTTAGGCCACATCAATTAGATTTAATCAGGCAAGACTTAAAGTAGTTTGGCCAAGCCCACTTTCAACGTGGCCCGAAAGGGGTGGATTTAGCACATCACAGCCCAACAAATCATAAAATAAGTAAAGGGAAAATTACATAGATCATGCGTTTAAACTTCAAAGTGCAAAAATCAGGTGTGATGATTTTTTAATCAAAATTCAGGTAATTAAATACTGCCCAAACCCTAATTTTATTTCATTTCTCACCCTTCTCTCTCTTCATTTCTCTTCATCTTCTCCCACTTCATTTCTCTCCCTTTAGCCCATCCAAACCCTAAAATTAATTCCCAGACCACCTCTCCATTCTCTATTCCGTCACCACCATCTCTCTACTGTCAACCCGCTGCCGTCTTCATCGCTGCAGCGACCAACCATCTCTCTATTTTTGATGGTGTTGTTCCATGAATTGGGATGATCTCCACATCTGGTAATATATTGTGCTTTGCTGCAAAATCAATCATCTCTTGGGTCTCTTTCATTCCTCCTATCCCACTGTCGGCTATTAACTTTCTACATGTAATCCATTGTGGACGTTTAGCAATATTGTCAAGACCAAACCTGGCCTGACCGGCAAGTCTGACCCAGAAATCAGTTTGGTAATAGAGTCAAAACAAGAAACTTAGAAACCATGAACCTAATTACCATACCATATAGGTTGTTCACCCCCATATTTTGCTTTTATTTTAGCATAGGTTCAACTCTCTGAACCTTGACCTTTTTATGAGGTCGATGCCCAAGCCAACTTCTTAAATATTGATGTTCAGGCATTATTTTTTTTTAGCAAAAGTGACACGCCCTTCCTCCCCCAGTATTGGTGGTCAAAAGTGGCCATCGTGGTAGTGACAGTAGTTTGTGACCAAACGTTCTGTAATCTATGACCAAATGTTTGGTAATTTGTGATTAATTACTCAAGTGTGACCTAAAAATTTAATAATATGTGACTCAAAAATAATATGTGACCAACTAATTTAAAAATTTGGGATCTCGAAATAATCTGTGTGACGCACAAAATTTTTGATGTGTGACCTCGAAATAATTTGTGATCAATTAATTTTAAAATATGTGACATATGACCTATAATTATGTATATGTGACTATTAATTATATAACCGTGATTTTATTATATTTTATTAATAAATATTTTTAATTAATTAACTAAAACCTGATTTTTGCATTAGTCAAACTTAAAACCTAATTTTTGAATTGTGTATAGTTAATCCCTAACTTTTGAACTCTTCTCCAAAATAGTTCGGGTCGTAAACCCAATGTTAATCTCTGACTTTTGAACTCTTCCCATAAGTAAAAGAGTAACATATATATTAACTCTGGAAGAAACATAGCGTTAACTTAAAATTTTGATTGGACTATTTTAATGTTAAGCTATAAATAACAGTATGTGTTACCATAACATGTAATCCATACAAATATTATTCTTAATGAAAAATATATACTTTTTATAAAATGATGTAAATTGTAAAACATTGTTTTCAAAGAAAGTAGGTATTTTTAAACAAAAATATAAAAGAAAAGTATTTTGAAGATTTTTGTTTGACGTTATCCCATTGTTATCCTCAATATTGCACTTGTGTAACCCATTTTTCCTCGACGAATTTCACTACTATTTGTCTATATGCAACCCCTTTGGATTATCGTGCACTTGGAAACAGAAGTAGTGCACTTCTTTCTTCGTCGTTGTAGTAAATAGGCTAGAAAATTTTATTTACTCGTCTTTAATTTAGAGAATTTCCAAAATACTCTCTAAACACAAGATGCTCTTTATTTTAGATAGTCAATATTCAAAAATAAATTTCAAAAGACTCTTTCTAACTTTTTAAAGAAAAGAGTGATTTTTGCTCTTCAAATTTGAAAAATCAAATTCACCCTTTATTTTTACTTTATAGTGGTGGTTGCAAATTAAAGCTATAAATTTCAATACTATTTTTAAAATTATTTAAATCTTATTAAAATTGGTTGGTAATTGACATATAAAAAAAACTTGAATTAAACATTGGAAGAAATCAATAAATGTTTTTTTGAAAAAAAAAATGAAAATTTAAAATAGATAGCATACATAAAAAAATTATTATTGTACATAAAATGCTCATTACAAATAGAAATCTCTCTAAGATGCTTTAATAAATTTAACAAACTAAGCTCTTAATAAGGTGATTTTAACATTTAGAAATTATTTTAGTGGAAAAAATTACTATCGTACTTGCATTTTGGTGATCAATTCACATTTACCACAACAATTCCCTTTCAAATTCTTAAGCGTAGTGCTGAAAAATATGACCTAGGATTTCACAACCAATCAATTTGGTAGGTTAATTGTGAAGTTAACGAGTGTAAATTTGAGATAATATATTAATTTAAAAATGAAGTCTCAATAATTAATTTGATTAATAGCAAATTAGACAATAAAAATTGAACAGCAATTCTCAACTCGCTATAATGAAAGTGAAACAGTCAGCGAGTAAAAATGTCATGCAACTCATACCATAGGAGATGACCAAACTCAAACACAAAAAGTATCAAGACCAATACCATCTCGAAACACAAATGTGTCGAACAGCTGTACGGACCTGTTCGACAAACCAATCTAGAAACTTCTCCAGAGATGTGCAAAAAATTGAGAGTCAACAAGTGGCTAGTTCCTAGTCACATTAAGAACCAGCCATGTAAACCGGCTGGTAATCACGCCAGTTCAACATTTAACACTTGAATTATTACTCCTTCCCCAAACTAATTTTCAAAAGCATTGATCAAGACATGCAAGAGACGCCCACAGCCTCCAAGTTCCAAGTTATGACTGTGACTTGGACTCCCATTTTAGGGTTCAGAGTACAGAATTGTTTGACACGACTTTTAAAAAGTGAAAAGTTACTTTTGAGATTAAGAAATTGTTTCCGAACATGTTAAAATAATTTATAGAAGTTCTTTCGTTTGATTACAGGAGCTTTTAAAGAAAATAGTTTAAAAGTTAGTCTACTGAGGAGGCTATTACATAAAAAATAGAAGCAAAATTAAAAGCAGAAGTTAAGTTAAACAAGCCATTAGTCCTGTGCCGAGAGTAAAATGACTCCAGATCGGGCTGGTCGTGTTCAACTAACAAGAGATCCTACATTTGGAAATATTTCAACAAAATTAAACAGGTTAATATTAATTCTGGCCAGAACTCAAGAACATTTCTCACTTCTACAAAAAGTAAAGTGCATCTTTAAACTCTAACAAAACTATACATATATTTCAATGACCAAAATGAAATACTTTTTCATCATCAAACCCACAAAGAAAATTAAATTCTTAAATATCCTTACATTAGGAGAAAACAAAAGCAATTAAAATTCCAGATTCTCTTACCTCTAGAATTTCTCAATCATACATTGTGATATACGGGAGAGTATCGGATGGCAAAGAAACCAAGTCGTGTCCTATAATGTGTTCCAAACGTGCGGTTAATATTCATCACCCCTTCAATGGATGCATTTTAACGACACTGAAGAAACGCTTCTTGCAAAAGTACTATTTGCATGCAAGAGCCACTTAAAGATCGTACGAATGGGTCAAATATCGAAAAAGAATGGATCGCCATAGTCCCAAATATTAGTTGTTGGATACTCATCATCATTAGTCAACGGCCATAACGGAGAGGCGGCGCAACCAGTCACAGACGATACCACCGGATCTGAAACATCAGGCGCCACCACGGGTTCAGTGTTAGCCAGAGTAAAGCTTGGCCCAACAGTTGTAATTGAGTTGATTTGATCGTACTGACAGTTGTTCTGTCGATGCTGAGAGTGGAAATCTTGAAAATTCTGCTGTTGATGATTGTTAGGGTTAGGAATTGTGGGTCCAGCATCAATATTCTTCACGTCACTTGGTCCGTACCTTTGATGCCCTAGTCCTAGGTTTTGTGCACTATGTACTATGTTAGGGTACTGTTCGATCGAGTAAAAGCCGTACGGTACATAATTTCCAACGCCTCCTACGGAGGCGACAGGTGGTGGAAGTGGTGGAGTTGAGTATGTGAGGCCAAACCCAGATGGGCGAGGCAGTAAAGGACGAAGGGTTTGAGTGGAAGAAGAACGGGAAGAGGATTGATTAGATGCGCCACCACTACCGCCATCGCCACTTGCACTTCCGCTGCCACCTGAGGGTTGTAGATTAAGCTGAGCCCTTGACCCATATAGTATAACGGCTGCACGGTCATAGGCTCTGGCTGCATCCTCCGCTGTGGCGAACGTTCCGAGCCACCGCCGAGTTCGCTTTCTTGGCTCACGGATCTCAGCCACCCACTTACCCCAGCTCCGCTGCCTCACTCCTCTATACTTAAACTTCCCATTATCCGGGCCTCCTTTACCTTTACCTTTCTTGTTACTCTTGCTGTTATCGCCGCCGTTACTGGTGGCGCTGTCACTGCTAGTGGTGGTGCTGGTGGTGGCATTGGAAATTGTAGAAATGGGGTGGCCGCTAGTGATAATGATATTAGGGTTGTTGGAATCTACACCGCTGCTGCTCATGTTTGGTTGCTTTTGCCTCGTTCTATGTTTACCCAATTAGTCAAGAGAGAGGACTGTAAAAGTCGTGAAGGATGGTGGTTTGCAGCCGCGCAAAACTGTAAATGGTTGATGAGGGCGGTGCTCGTATGGACTTATTACTTGTTCATTTATATACACTTGGAATGCTCCCTTGCGAAGAAACACACGGAATTATCGAGTTACAAAAATTCACAATTTTTTTGTACGATTATAGTATGATGATATTATGTTTCATTTTACAATTTTAAATTGAATAATACTATTTAGTCCTAGAGTTATAACCTAATGTGACATTAAATGATAATTGAAATTAAATTATATTAAATGACAAATGAAACTAAATGACATTTAATTCTACCTTTCATTTAATCTAACATCATATAAATTGAGGTTATAATGCTAGTTAGACTAAATAGCATTATTCTTTTAAATTTGTGGGATTTTTTTTTTTATTTTTGTATGAATTGTGTTGTAATGTACTCTTTCCGTCCCAATTATATAGACTGGGTTTCATTTTTCTCTTGTCCCAGATATATAGGCATGTTTCCTAATGTAGAATATTTTATTGTGTTCCTTTACCAATATACCCTTATTAAATTTTTCTCACTTAATAAGTCAACTTCTTGAAATCATCCAAATACACACATTTTCCACTTCTTGAAAATATAAAACAACACTCACTTCTTCTTCTTCTTCTTCAAATTCTTTATTAGTTCCAATAATAATTTAGTTTTACATACCGACAATTAAATAGGGGTAAATTAGGAAAGATCTTAGTAAAAATTAATTTTTCAATGACATTAAAGAAGTTTTCTTAATCCGTGTGAAAAACGAAACAAGTCTATATAATTGAGACTGATAGAGTAATTAATTACTTCTCGTTTTAAATTGTGAAGTCTTTACCATGTAAATGCATTTGATATATTTTGGTAGCCAAATGATGTGGTTAGTGGAAGGGGCTACAATTATTCTTGACAACATCTTTCAAAATTGAAATAACAAAGTTTGTCTCAAGTATCAACTAACACGTTGGAAGGGCGAATAGGTGAATAATGCAGAATTTACGTTTATCAATTATTATTATTAACAACAAGTTATAAATAATAATTAATCTAGATGAATTCACGTGCAAATCTATCTTATGTTAAATTGGCACAGTTTATAATTTGCATAAAATAAATAATACCAATAGTTGATCACGGAGGAAAAAACTTCACACAAGATCTAAAAACTTTGGCCCAAGTTAGTAAAACCCACTATAGACAAATTGACTTACAATATAGTCCAGACTCGATTAATTCCTAACACTCTATGACCTACTTCCTATAATCACCAAATTCCTCTTCGACTATATGCTTCTACACCAACTTTCGACTTTCTAAAATCATCTATCTCCTGTAGATCACCGTTCCTCGTTCTTATCTTATCGGAACTCCGATTTCCTTCCTCGATCTTCAGAACTTTGATAGATTATAAGGAAGTGGGTGGTTTGGTGTTTTGAAAATTTAGATTGATATTTTCCAAAGTGTGGTTGAAAATTTTCAAGGTATAGAATTGATGTAGGATCTTCAAAAGATTATTTCTAAGAATATAATGACGAACTATCACCGTAGACAGAATATAACTTGAGTGAACGTGTTTAGGGTTGTTTAAGACTCAAATAAATGTTTAAATCGCGAAACAAATTTTTCACGGATGTCACCGCCGCTTGAGCGTTGGCGAGCGGCAATGGTTCTGTTGATTTCTCCACGATGGCTCTCAAGCACTGAAGGGGCGGCTAACTAGAATTATTCCAGCTATTTTTTCTCTTTTGTTGTATACTCAAATCCAAAAACTCATAATTAACTTATACAACCTCCCAAACGATTCTTTGACTTCTATAACTCTTCTATAACTATAATTTTGTCTAAAGAATAGCCTATTACAATAAAACATAACAAAAACAAATTTAGATTGCATTAATAATCGTTGATATACAATGTGTGACTATTCACAACTATCAGTAATGACGGTAGTATATTTACTTAATAACAATTATTACAATACGATGCTTTTGAATCCTTTTAACTTATTAATAATACATTCTTTATTTTGTTGATTTTAAATATTGTTGTGTAGATTATTGATGTACAGTTAATTGGTTACATTATACAAATTCATTATTGTTGAATTTTGACCTCCTAACCTTATAAAATTTGTTATTGATATTTGAAAAATAAACATGAAATTATTTATTATTTATCTAATTGTATACATCTCGATGTTCTCTTATCGAAGTCGTTTTTTCCAATTAAAAGGTTTTCGAAGTTCATCTTCAATGATGTGAAGTCGTAAATTATTATGATCGATGCAACTACAAATCTTTTATTGTTGTTACTTTTACTTTACCGTAGTTTTTTCCTCGACGTCTATAATTGCAATGACCAAATATTAGTTAATTAGATTACAAACTATTAGCATTTCAACAAAATTTAAAATTATATTTAAATAATAAATAGTCAACATTGGGAAATGAATATCATTTATAGAGGAATTCCAATTTTCTTAATGGGGAAGGAACGCAATGTCTTGTTTAAATTGAACATAAAGTCACCAAAGAATCACCAAACATTTTTCAAATATTTTCATTAATAAAACCCTTCATCTGCAAGTATGTTGGTTGCGTTGAAATAAAATTTTATTTTATTTTTGATATTAATAATTTTTTAATGGGGTGATTATTTACAGGATATGTCTCTTTCATTTATTCACGAAATTTTTCAAAAATTATAATTTCAAATAATGGGGGCCAAACGGGCTACTGCTTTTTAATAATGTACTAAAATTCGTTCTTCATTTTTTATTTGACCTCAAATAAATTAAGTGTAACAAGCAACTTAAAATCTGGTAAGAGTGGACATTTATTTCCAACAGTGTTAGCCTGTGTTTTTAGAATTCACAGATTGTTTTTGGAGTGAAGAAAGATATAAAAAGGTAATAGAAAATAAAAAAGTAAAGTGGACCCTGCATCTGTTGGCTCAACGGTGCTTGTGAGGGTTTAGGGTTAGAGGCGGTGCCGAAATTTCTATGTTTATCTAAAGGCAGTGCAGCCTGGACAATGTCTATAGGTGGCATCAATACTGGCCATCCAAATCTGTGGATGTCCATTTACTATGGCAGTTTTAGGGTTGTCATGAACAAAAATGTATAATTCATAAAATATTGTCACGTATTTGTCTTTTTAATTATTTATGCATTTTTCTTATTTATAATAAGGGCATGTTTGATATGCCATTTTTTTCCCACTTTTGCCATGTTTAATAGTCAAAAGTTTCCATCGAAAATATTTTCCACCCAATCCCCCCACGTGATCCCTTTTCTATGAATTAAATGAATTGGTTTTCCCACCAATTTGGTGGGGAAATGGTTTCCATGTTTTTTTTTTTTTTGCAATGAAAACAAATTTTATGGACAATTTTTTTTAAAAAAATTCTTTTAATGGACAATTTTCATGGAAAACAAAGTCAAAAGAACACCAAATATCCAAAATTTCAACATTTTTTAGGTGAAAAATTATACCAATCAAACACAATTAATTGTCATTCTCTGTAATTCATTTTCTTTCCACCCAAATTCCACTCTTACAACCGAACGGACCCTAAGTTCCTATTTAGCCTCGATTTTCGAAAACTCATTTTTTTTTTTTCAAAATCATTTTTAATCACACATTTTATGAGACATGTAATTTCATCAACTTTTCAACCACACGTTTCATTAACTTTTATCAAATTTACGAAAAATCTGATATTTATCCAAACAAACATGGGCTGAGTAATTGAAGTTTTGATGAGTTGACACTCTCACAATGATTGGCAAGTTTATTGTATGAAACACAAATTTGCTTATTTCTTTTTTACATTTTTCTTCCTGAGTACGTTTTGTCGTGTGCAAGGACTATTTTTCTCAACAATTTATCCCAAAACTTATTTACTCGTATACAAATAAAGATTTAAACTCAGTATAATATTATATTTTGCAATAGAGTACAAATTAATCAACATGATGAACGAGACTTTTAAATTCCTCTTCTTTAAAAGCTGTCCATTGTTTTGAAATTGCCTTATCAAATATGCAATTAGTATCATTATCCTCAAAATTATTTAATTCTGCAATCAAATTGTACATATTTTAATTAGCTATTGCATTATATTTTTACCCCGATTGATTTATATATATGTTAAATAACATAAATTATATATTTAATTTCCATAATTAACTTTTGTACAATTTCAAAACCAAACTGGAAAAATGAAAAAAAAAAAAAAAAAAAAGAAAAGATATGTACTCCAACAACTGCAGAAATTGAAGTGGCTAAAGATCCAAAAGTAAAGCTGTAGCTGAGAGAGAAGACAAATAACCGATTTTCAGTTGATACTTGCGAACTACGTCATAAGAGCATGACGTACAGTTGCGATATCTCTGTCTCTCTAGTCTTTCCTATTAAAATATTCATTGCAATGCTATTAGGGTTTGGCATCTTGGGATTTTACTTTCTTGGGACGTAAACTAAAGTTTGTTCAAAAAGACTTTTCAAAATTCATGTCGAACGGATAGTAGAAAGTGCTTGTTGTGTAAGGTTCATACGGTGTAAATAAAATATGAATAAAGCTATTTGTACAAAAAGAATTTGACAAAAATGTTGACAAACACTCACATGATTGCCGGCCCCACATGAATAAAAAATTGAAAATAAAAAGTGGGCCCCCCCACATGTGGGGGTTTGTCAACATTTTTGTACAAATTCTTTTGTACAAGTAGCAAGGTCCATAATTGTAACGTGCTCTTCAACGTCTACGTTACCGAGTATGTACAAGTAGCAAGGTCCATAAAATATATTTTATATTTTTACTCATTACTTATTTGTTGGCTTATTTAAATTAGAATGATTTTTAAATGTTAAAATATGTGTCAAAAAAAAGGTGATCATGAGGTGCAGTCCAAAC